GCACCCACTGACAGTGTCAGCTCCACTCACCCACTGCTGGAGCCGGCCATAATAGCCCTACGCCGTCAGCGGGTGAGAATGGGGCCAGCGCCGTCAGCATGTGGAAGTGGCAGCGGGAGTGGGGCTGTTGGCAGACAGGGGACCAAGGCCATGGCAGGAGGGGCCAGGTGGGGATGCAGAAGATGGGTCAAGACCTGCCCCTGTGCCCACCGCAGCCTTGCAGCCCACAGTTCCTTTCAAAGTGCATGAATTTGTGCACTGGGCCCCTAGTTTCACAATAATATTTATAAAATAGTTTAATATCCAGACCATGCAAGGGCATTTCCAAATAAAGATGATTCTTATTTTTACCTACAATGTAGTGAAGCACAGTAACGTCCATCTTGTAAAGAACTGCTGTTTGAATTCTCTGCTATTGTCAGATAATCCCTAGTTCTGTAAACTCCATCACTGTAAACTCTTGTCATTGTAAACTCTGTCAGTTTAAGACAGTCTCTTATTCTATAAAATGACTTTGTTTTAGTTCAAATAATAGAAGATAAACTTAACTGTCTGACCTTGCAAGCTAGCCATCAATGTAATAGACTAATACTGATAACAATTCCCATATTGTTATGCCAAGCACAAACTCATTATGTATTCAAGGTTACAACTGTCTGTAACAATAACTCACACAGAGCTCTTTGTAATATCTGCAAACAAAGAGGCTCAAAAAGTATAAATAGGAAAAACTTCCTGTATGGGGTGCTCAGAGATTTGGAAAAGACACCTCCCCCTGGGCCGTGTGCGAATAAATGACTCCTAATTAATTGGTTTATTAAGGCATCCTTTATCTCATTCAATAATTTATGATACAAGAGTAGCAGGCACTAATGTTAGGTCTTGGAGCAGATTTAGAACGTAAGACACTATCGTCCTCATCCTCAGGAGTTCTAAGTAGACTGGGGAAAACTTCAGGTAATCGGATAGTTACAATATAGTGAGATAAGTGCTGTAACAGGTATGTGAGCCAAGTACCAAGAGAGTATTGAAGAGGGAAGGATTAACTCCCCCCAAAAGACCTAGAAAGCATTTCAAAATTCACTTACTTAACAAATATTTATTGACTTCTTAATATGTGCCAAGCACTGTGACAGGTCCAAGAATACAAAGGTAAATAAAATACCCAAGGTCCCTGTACTCATAAAATTTATACTCTAGAATTCAGAGGGAAAGTTGCATTTGAGTGGGCTGACAAATGAGTAGGGATTCACTCTGTAAAAAGAGAGAAAGTCTTTCTATGAAAAGGGACCAACATCATTCAAAGCCCTGGAGACATAAAAGAGAATAGCTTATACAGAGAATTAGCAAGAAATGGGTTGTGGCTGGAAAGGACTCCTGTGAATAGAGAGCTACAAGGGATGAGGGGACAAGGCTCACTGGGTCAGAACAGAAAGGGTAACATAAGCCATGGCAAGGCTTTTGGAATTTTAGTTCATTTGGCCATTCAGAAAAATGTACTGCAGACTTCTATATGCCAAACCCCGTGCCAGGAACAGGGGACACAAAATCATTAAGACATACTCTTTCAAGAAGCTTAGAGTGTAGCAGGGCACAGGCATGGAAAGAAACATTTACAATTAAGCAAATCAAGTCCAATGATAGGGGCATGTTTAAGATGCAGGGATGTAAAACTGAATAAAGGAAACCTCATTTAAAATGGGAGTTGGGAGGCCAGAAGGAGCTGTCGTACACTACGATTAGACCCCAATAGGAAGGGACCATATCTTGCATTCCCAACAAAAAATATCTCTACTCTACTAGGAGGAAGATTTTCTGTTTTGCTCAGCAACAAGCCTAACCAATAAGAACCCTCAAAACTCGGCCAATTAGAAGCCATCATCACTCTGAACTCTCTCTTTCCTCCAATGGACTTATCCTCAAAGTACCATCCCCTCCCCACTTCCTGTTGCTGTTGTTTTCTATAAAGTTTCCTCTCCTTTGTTTGCTGGACTTGCCTATAGTTTTTGCAATGGCATGTTTGTATTGAATTTCAATTCTCTGCCATTCCCAAATAAACCCATTTTTGCTGGTAAAAATAACTGGCTGTTTTATTTTTAAGGTCAACAAGAGAGTGATCAGATTGGCTCTGTATCTGGGAGACACAAAGGTGGTGAGAAAAGGTCTCATAGTACAGCAGACTCTTAAACTAAGTCGTGGGGAACAGATAAGATTTCATAAAGTAGAAGAGAATAGCAAACACTTGCATAGTACTGAGAATGTGCCAGGCACTGTTCCAAGCACTTTATATATGGAGTGGGGCAAAAGTAGGTTTATAATTGTGAGTACACAAAACACAGAGCTCATTCTTGTATTATTACTTATTATATTATTTTCCATACAAACAACTATAAACCTACTTTTGCCCCACTCTGTATATTGAGTCACTCCAACTTCATAACTAACATAAAATAGGTTTTATTATTAATTCCATTTTATAAGCGAGGAAAAACACAAAGGTTAAATAACTTGTCCAACAACACACCAGGAGTAATGGCAGAGCTGGGTTTTTAACCGAGGCAGACTGGTTCCAGTCTGTTTTTAATTATATTATCATGTGACCTCCAAGACAAGGAAGTAAAACCATTCTAGGCAAACAGGAAAGCAATGCAAAGGTACAGAAGTATGAAAGAGCACATCTTTGGCCAACTGTGAGTGGTTGACAGTGGATGAAATGTACATTAAAAAGAGCCAGTAGGGGATGAGGCAGGCAGGTCATGGAGAGTCTTGAGTGTCATGTAAAGAAATGTTTTTATCAATAGGTAATGAGAAATCACTTAAGGATTAGGCAGGGAGATGACATGAGTAGAATTTTATTTTATTTTTTTACTTACTCCTCTGGTTAAGTGTAGAGCGAAGATTGACAAGGGATGCTAAGTAAACCAGATCATAGAAATGCTCCAAATAAGAAAAATTTTTAATTTAAAAGATGTAAGGACAAGGAAGATTTTTAGGAGGCAGAAGTGAAAAATTGGATACGAGAGAAGAGTTAATGATGGTTTCTGTTACTAGTCCTAGTTACTTAGTATCCTATCTAATAAAAGGGAAATATGCAAATTAACCATCACTCCATCACAAATATGTGGCATTCACAGCCACAAGATGGCGGCACCCAGTCCTCTCAGCCCCGGGGGGAGGGGAGGGGAGGGCAGCTGCTGAGAGGAGGCAGTGTGAGTGGCCTGGCGGAATGCTTGCTTCATCACCACTGCGACAAGGCGCCAATGAGCCTCTGGGCAAGGAGTGGGGAGTGGCCAGGCCCCACAGAGAGCTACTGGTACCCAGATTTGTGCGCAGTGCTCCTAGTATGGATATCAAAGTAAATACAGGAGAATAAAGGTCAAGCTTGATAGAAAAGCTATTGCATTTAATAGAAGTGTTATCCTATATGCCTACTGTTTATTCTGATTCCATAATCTTCATATGACTTATTTTCATCATCATACAGTGATTCTCAACTGGGCACAAGTAGAGATATAGAGGGTAAAAGGGGCAGGTAGAAATAAATTAGAATCTGGGTGCTTGTATGTGAATGTAGGTGTAGTTTAATTATTACTCTTCTCTTTTTCTTCCAGTCTAATATCACAATCCTGCCCACCACCATCTCTCATTAAGAATTACTGCTGTATACAATTATCCATGAATACTGTGAAAAAACAGAAGCAGTTGAAAACTTTGAATTGCAGGACAAGGAGAGATTTTAAAGATCAGTAGGTCTCAACCAAGGGCTGCTTACAAATATGTGAGGGCATTTCTGATTATCACAGTGGGAGGTGCTAATGGCACTCAGTACCTGAGGGCCAGGGATGTTACTAGTAAACTTCCTACAATTCACAGGGCAGTTCCAAATTATGAAGAATTATCTTACCCCAAATGTTAATAATGGTCCTTTAAAGAAACACTAATATTATTCAATCCTACATTTTAAAAAATATATATATTTTTTATTTCACAGAGGAAGGGACAAGGAGAGATAGAAACATCAATGATGAGAGAGAATCATTGATTGGCTGCCTCCCTGCAGGCACCTCACTGGGGACTGAGCCCACAACCTGGGCATGTGCCCTTGACTGGAATTGAACCCAGGACCCTTCAGTCTGCAGACCAATGCTCTACCCACTGATCAAAACCAACTAGGGCTCAGCCCTACATTTTATGGAGAGGACAAACTGAGATCCCAGAGAAGAAAATGGCTTGCTGAAGATCACCCAGGTGCACAGTAAAGACTAGGAACCAGGGCTTCTGTTTACACTCCTCTTCATTGCTTCTAATCCCAGCCTAGTAAGCTCTTGGGAGCACAAACATTAGGAATCTAGAGGAGGAAAGGGAACCAATAAAGGAAACAGAAAAGAAATAAGTCCACTATGTAGGAAGAGAGGTTCAAGAACACAAAGCAAACTAATTACAAGTAGTTTTTGGGTTTTTTTAGTAAAATAATTATTTTATCATTGAGTATCTATGTTGACTGATTCACTGTTGGCTGTCTATCCTTCTGTTCCTTGACTCTTCCTTGCTAACACACGCAGGTTGCACAGAGTCCATTAAAATAGTCTCTTTTTCAATCTCAGATATAGCTATGAAGGCCTTGTGATACAGTTCGGGCCAATAAGATAGGAGAGTACAGTATCATCACCCAGCCTTACTGAGTTCATACAGAGTACATAAAATCATACTTGGTACTTTAACATTCCTAATAGACAAAATTTTGCTGAAGAATAACATAGGGGGTTTGTCCTGCCAGCTACAAAACATACCATTAAGCCAAAGTAATTAGACAAGTGTAAGAGAAATACTAGTATTGATTAAATCTAAATCAGTACAGGATATGGGAGAAACAAATTGGGAGTGGTCAGGAACACTGGGAAGTATAGCAAAAACCACACACAGGTCTTCCACAGAACTCCATATCACCTTGGAATCACAGTCCATTGCACATTTTCTCTAGTCCCGTGTCCCCTTCTCACCTTCAGAGATTCAATTGTGGCCTGCTTGTAAATCTTTCCTCCAGGATCTTTCTTCTGAGGACTACTCTGGAGTCTAGGCGTTCGAATGACGAATTTATCCATTTCTAGGGGTCTTCATGTGCTTGCAGTATGTTCTGCTCAAGAAAAGAGGGCAGATTCTAAAACGTCATAACTGTTGGGATGTGTGTTCCCTAAAATGACATAACTGCGTTCTATACACTCTGGATTCTGGAAGCTTTCCTGAATTCTGAGTGGACTTTATGGGAAGGTTTTCTCTTGAAAAAGAAACATCTTCCTAAGAACTGAAACTTGTACAATAACGGGTCTACTCTCTGGATCAGAGAGTGCCTAATTTTCAGAAGGGCACGCTGTGCAGGGGATTCCAATACAATACTGGGCCAAGCGTTGAACCCAATGACAAACCTCTTCCAAATTAGGTTAGGTTGTGGCAGGTTCAAGTTTCACTGGGTGCAATGAAGCTCTCTTAATTACTACCCCACCTTAGCTGCAACCCCAAGGTTTTCCCTAGTAACCAGCAACTAACAAACCACCTCCAGATTTCAGCAAAGTACTCACAACAAGCCCCTATCTCCATGAACTGCTTGGTGGTCACAACGCCCTTCCTATCCACGATTATAGGCTTCTCGATCCCCGAGCGAAAATAAACACCATCTCTGCCCTCAGCACTCATGAGCCCAGAAAGGGGGACCTAGCAACGGTCTGACGTGAAACGCACCAGGAAAAGCAGCCTGGCAGCAGCAAGGCCCCTCCAGAGAACTAAAGTTGCAAAGAGTCCATTAAAACAGTCTCTTTCCCAGTCTCATCCTGATGAAACTAAACGAATGCTACTTTCCAGGCCGGTAGTTTCTCGGAAGCGACGTCCGCCCGCAGGGAGCCTCAGCGACACAGCACACCACATTCCCCAGAATGCACTGCGAAGGGTACTGTAGTTCTCCGAGACCAGCTTTCTCGGAAGCCAGGGCGCCTTCCGCCGGTGGAGAACTACGTGCCCCAGCATGCCCCGCAAAGGAAGAAAGGGGCCTGGGAATGCCGGTTCGCTCCCGTGCTCGCGAGAGTTGGCTCCACCTCTTCAGACCGGGAGGCGGAAGCGGCAGCCGGGAGAGGGGGCGGGGAAGGGGCTGGCCCCGGAAGGAGGAGGAAATCCTGAAAAGAAAACAGCAACAAGCTGAGCTGCTGTGACAGAGAGAGACAAAATGGCGGTGCCGAGAGGGAGCCTCCGGGCCAGGGCCCAGCTGGGGCTTCCGCCGCTGCTGCTGCTGACCGTGGCCCTGGCCGGAGGCTCGGGGGCCGCCTCGGCCGAAGCGTTTGACTCGGTTTTGGGGGATACGGCGTCTTGCCACCGGGCCTGTCAGTTGACCTACCCCTTGCACACCTACCCCAAGGTAGGGCCTGTCCGAACGGGCTACAAACCCTTCCCTGGCCGCTCGTCTTTCCGCCCTCCCGCTCCTCTGCCGGCTCTGGGAACCTGGCCGTTGAATCCGCCATTCAACCGCTGTCTCCCATCTGTGTCGCTCCTGTTTTCCTCCCTAACCCTACTCGCATCCGCTCCCGCTGCTATCATTGCCGGAAGTTTGTGCTGCACCCACCCTGTGGTGGGCCGGGGGATACGGAGGTTGAGAAAGAGAGCTACGCGGGAGGAGGATGCTGACTGTTAACACGGACCCTCACCTTCAGGGAGCCCAAGGGGGGGGCGGGGCCGGAGCAGAAACGCAAGCCCACAAAGGGTTCCTTCATACACCATGTTTACCGAGCACCTCTCTGGGCCGAGAGCTAAGTGTCTGCTCCGGGAGTCAGACGCGGAGACGATCCCACTGGAGTATGGAATGGGTTAAGCAGCCCGAGGAGCTGTGAGCCGCACTGAAAGGCCTTTCCTCCCTCCGGTGTTGAGTTACTGTGTGTGCCAGGCGCTGCCACCAGGGCCTGGGGTGGCTTCGAGAAGAAGCAGGTAGATACACCTGCATTGAAAGAATTTACCATTTAGTGAAGTGAATAACGAAATGAGACCAACCTTCAGGGAAGAAAGAAGGGGGTACAGCTTGCGGAGAGGAATAACCCTACTTTCACTGCCCACGCACCCCGCACACCCCACCCCCCCACACAAACACAGGTGCTGTCTTTCCTTAATTCCATTCTGCTTCTCAAGTAGTTGTTGTTGTTGTTGTTGTTTTTCGGTTTCTGGAGAACTCTGTTTACACAGCATTCTAGATTGTGGGGTGAACTCCCTCACCCTTTCCCATATATAATTTCGGTGTATGCCTTCCCTCAGCCCTACTGCCTTCATTGGCAAGAGCTTTTGCGATGTTGCTGGTCTTTCTCTTCTTGTTTTTCCTTCATCTCTATGCCGTTTGCTTGGTGTGCGTAGCCCATTTTGTTTGCTCTCTTAATCTACAAAGTGAGCAGGAGGCCCAGTGAAATTAGGATGCTCCTTATCAGCAAGTGTTTTCAGGTCTTGGAAAATGGAAGGTTCTAAATGCTTTCACTTCCCATATGTCTGTTTACATTGCCTTAGGATTACCGGTTTCCAAGACAAAATGTGGGAGAGGGTATTATCCTAAAATTTTCAGTCAGAGACTAATATAGCAAGAGAGAGCGAAGTGAAAAATTCTGATTTCCAGACTTAATGTATACTATCCCTAAATACTTTGTCTTCTCTTATAAACCTCTCATCTGAGAGGATTGTATGGGGAAACGCATTAATATTGATTTGACCTGGTTTGGCATGGAGACTTATTTTGCATCATTCAACTATTTGATTTTGGATTTTATTTCTGAGATTTTTTTTTTCCTAGCAAATTTGCAGTATGAATCAGAATCCTGGGAGAATAAGTAATTTGAAAGGATAGACATTTCTGCAACTTTTAAGTACTTTTATAATATCCACTCCTTCCTAAAATACTCTGATCTCTAAGCTATTTTTACTTGTTCTTTAAAGTTGTTGTCACCAGGAACTCTAAATCATCTGGCTTCCTGTAAATGCTAGATTTAAAATGTATTAACTGTCTACCTTCTGTTAGCCGATTTGATGAGAGATTACCCATTATTCCTAATTCTCACAACCGCCCTGCAAAGTAGGGTTTTACAATTGAGGAAATTGAGGGTCTGATAAGTTAAGTGATTTGCCCAAGGTCACATAGCCAAGAACTAGTGGAATAGTTGGAATTCAGTCCTAAAACTGGCTGCACTGTGCTGCCTTTTATTAAAAAGTTTTTTTGAAAATTTACTTGTTTCACTGATAACTGTTGGCCCTCCTCCCACTTATTGTACTTTGCAGTTCAGGGTGGGGGGGAGGGGGAAGCAGTGTGTTATATAAGAAATGAATTTAGATGAATTTACAAGCTCACATAGCCTCTCTTGGTCCGGCATTTGTAGCTGGCAGATAGAAATCTTATTTGAATGACTTATTTTCAGAAGTATTTTGTTGTAAGGATGTAGAATACCTTAACTGTAAGTAATTATTTTCAAATTATGGCATTTTTACCCTTTAATTTTCCTTAAAAGTGCAATTGCTTAATTTGCCTGGGTCTAAATACAAGAGATATAAGTTTATGTTAATAACAAAGCTGACTAAATCCAGCCTGGTCATTTTATTTTTTATTTTTATTTTTTACAAAGTGTGAACTCTGGAACCATAGAAATCCAGGTTCCATCCACAGATCCACTTGTACCATATGTGTGTCTTTACTGATCACTTCTTATGCTGTTTTGTCAGCTATAGAAAAAAATCTTCACACCCTGCAAAGCTAGTGTGAGAATTAAAGATAATATATGTGGCATTCTCAGCAACTGCCCAAATGCTGAATAATGAGAGAATAGTTAGTTTTACTTAGCTCAGGATGTGAAAATGCACATAAAATCTATAAGTGGTATCATTGAAATTCATTGTAATTATTTAGATGGTATTTCATTTGGTGGGGAGCACCATTTCCTTATGCTCTAAATCAAAGGAAATATCTACAATAATAAAAGTATAATATGCTAATTAGACCGGACAGCCAAATGACCTTCTGGAAGTCCTTCTAGATGAAGCCTGGGTGGTGGGGCCGAGGCAGAGGCAGTTAGGGGCGATTAGGCAGGTAGGTGAGCAGTTAGGGGCTATGAGGTAGGCAGGTGAATGGTTAGGGGTGATCAAGCAGGCAGGCAAGTGGTTAGGAGCCAGTGGTCCCAGATTGTGAAAGGGATCAAGCCTAAACTGGCAGTTGGACATCCCCCAAGCCTCAAGAGTTCCCGGATTGTGAGAGGGTACAGGCCAGGCTGAGAGACCCCCCCTCCCTATGCACGAATTCGTGCCCTGGGCCTCTAGTATTTGATAAAAGCTTGCCAGTCATTTGGGATACATGGGGCATGAATCATTGACTCGGAGTAATAATATTAACTAGAACATGAAACACGTACTTAGAATAAGGATATGATTCTTCATAATGATTTTTGAGTGCCTACTCTGTGCCAATTGTTCTATCAGATGTTAAATATTAGTTCAGTGACTGACACGTTATGATTGCTCATTAAATATATTGTCAATGGTATGTCTATTTGTGTAGCACAATATTAATGGTATTGTGAATATAAAATGTACAGCCCTCATATTCAAGATTGACATAAGTTATCCCTATTTTACAAGTAAGGAAACTGAGGCTGAGAGATTAGGTTACTTCCGAAGGTTGTACAAATGGTGGCGCTGAGCTTTAAATCTAGACTGTTTTCACCATGCCATACATCTCCTCTTCTGAAAACGGTGCCGGAGCCTGGCCAGAGTGCTCAGTTGGTTGAGTGTCGTCTTGTGCACACACATACCTGGATTTAGGTTTCAATCCCCCAAAGGAGCACTTACCGAAGGTAACCTATGGATGATTCTCTCTCTCTCCCTCTCTCTCTCTCTCTCTCTCTCTCTCTCTCTCTCTCTCTCTCTCCCCCCCCCCCCCCCCTCTCTTCCCCTTCCTTTCTCTAAGCCTCCGGTAAGGATTTTTATTTTTTTTTAATGGTACTTGAGGGCTTATTTGGGTTGGTTTAACAGAAGAAAACATATCTGAAAAGGAAATGGCATTCAGTAAAGCTCTTAGTGATGAGCTCATGCTTCCTCTGTGCAGTATAAGGAAATATGTGGCACTCCAAAGACATGAAAATTCTTTCATTGTTGTACAAAGTCTGCAAAGGCTATTCAGGTATGACATTTATTTTAATTGCTAAAATTCTTGCAGTTTCACCTTAACAATAAATGCAACCAGAACTGAGGACCTAAAATGTGCTGCCTTCAAAGCTTGCTTAATATTAGACTGCAGCCATCTCTTTCTAATGGATTGCTGCTGCTGCGTAAACTTTACTACTCCTCTGCTGGAAAGAAACGCAACTTGTATTCTGTTGGTTGCAAATTGGTAAATGCACATGGTGTTTCCTTCCCTTTTTTGGTGCCCACCAGTTTGTACACAGTGGATCACATAGTAAGTTGAGGGGGCTTCCCCACATGTACTGATTTGTTTCAAATACTATATGTAGTTCATTGATGAAAAGCCTGTTGAAGACACTGTCATTGGTCTTAACTAAGCAGGTAACATTTCCCAGCAATGAAAAATATATCCTATCTTGAGTTCACACACATATGCAATGATGCCTATAAGTTGTTTTCTCTTTCACAACTCTTACTATGATTAACACTACCGTTTATTGAGTACCTTGTATGGTCCAGGCACTGTGCTAAGAATAGTTATTTCCAGCAGTACTGAGGGAGTTAGAGACAATTTATAGCTATTATCTCCTTTTATGATGAGAAAAATTGAGATTTAGATAGGTAACTTATACTGGGTCACTCACCTAAAAAGTTTCAATCCAGGTCTGGCTAATTCCATTGGCCTTTCCCATGTGGCGTACTGTTGCTTTTGTTAGTGTTTTTAGTAAATAAGCTAAGTTTTAAAAACCCTTATGCAAGTATATATACAGATGTACACCTCACTTTGTGGGGGCCTGTATAGCACTATTGGCCATGTGAAGCTAATCATGATACTTTTCCTCATAAGCTTGATGATTTGTATAAATATTTACGGGCAGAAGTATGCTGTCTGTCCTAAGGTACTTGCTTACTCGTTTATATATTTGTTAAAGTTCTGATTATGTCGTTATTTTTATTTTTAATCCCTTTCCCCCATGAAACAATAGGAAAAGAGTGATTTTTCTCACTAGACTCCTTTCTTTGGTATCACTTTATAAACAAGAAACTAAAACGTCTTTATATGGGAAAGGTCTTGGGCATTACCTGGCTCCTGTCGTTTTCCTTTCAGTTACAACATTTTTTTATGGACAGTTTATAACAAACCAACTAACTTTGCTTTCTTCTGACGGTTTTTCCCTTAGGGAAATGTACATTTTTTGTAATCCTCCCTGTTTTTGAATTCCCTAGGAAGAAGAGTTGTACGCATGTCAGAGAGGTTGCAGGCTGTTTTCAATTTGTCAGTTTGTGGATGATGGAATTGATTTAAATCGGACCAAATTGGAATGCGAATCTGGTAAGATGTTATGCTAATGACATCAGCAGTCTGTAGCATTGATGTTTTCTGTGAGTTGTGTTATACTTTTAATGTATTTCCTCACAAAATGAGGGGCATATTTTAATTGTTATGAAGTTAGAGTTTTAGTAGCTGCTGCTAGAAATTTTATGGTCTTTAAATTTCATCTTTTGTTGAGATGAGATAGTGTTTATTTTATACTGTGGATAGAACACCTTTGTTTAAAGTATTTGGTTTAGACAAATGCAGTAGTAATTAGCCTTCCCATAATTCATCACTACCTTTTTAAGAGCTAGTATAATTTTTCTAAGCCTTTCAACCATTGGCTAATTAGCTTAGCTCCAAGTTGTTTTCTTTTTTTTTTTTTTAAACTGAATCAGGCCTTTGACTTAGTATTTAATAGTTTATTCTTTTGTGGGTCATGCCAGTAAAAGAGGTAACCAGAGTCTTTTGTCATCTCTTAAACCACTGTTCTTAATTTTGTTGAAGGAGGTGTTTTAAAAAAAAACCCTTTGTGATAAGGACAAAATTGACATTTAATTTTTTTGAGAACTTTAATGGAGTTTTCTCCATTCATTACATTACGCTGTTTATTCAGTGTAGCAGGAGGTATCTTACTCCTTATCACTATGCCAAGACTAACATCCAGCCTCTGGGATATCATAACCTTATTTTTTATGACTCAGTCTCTGAAACTGGCCATTTTATATGTGCATAATGCTGTTCAGTTTATTATCTAACATATTTGAGAAGTATATTACTTTATACTTGACTAAATAAATGACTGTATTTAAAGTAAATACATGACTGGGTTGGAAAGAAAAATAAGATTTTTATAGTAGTGAAGTGTTCTATCATAAGAAAGAAATGTCTCTGATAAAAGAAGAGAGTATATCTGGCAGAGACCCAGTTCACCTTTAGAATCCTGCTGTAGAACATTTTCTAAGTTCCATTTTCTTAGAATTTAGGGTGTTAAACTAATTGTTTTATTTTTTTCCTTGCCATGTGAATAACTTTGTTTCTCAACTAACTGATCCAATTCTGAATAATAATATCATATATTTGTATAAATCACCAAAATATATTACTTTGTTTAACCCCATTAAGTAGATGGTTATATTTCCATTTAGACTTGTAGAATTCAGTAGTCAAAGAGGTTAAACAATTAGCCCAAGTCACATAAACCACCAACAAATGATAGAGCCAAAACTTGAGGTTGCCTGTTCAGTGAGGTTGTCTGTTCAATGTTTTTCCACTATGTAAACCTTAGCATGAGGCTCCCCCTTATAAATGTCATCAGATAGGAACTTGAATGTGTAATTAATAGATTTATACCTGAAACATTTGACTTGTGGGTGATAAAAGATAGGGGTTTTATTAAAATAACTAGAGGCCCAGTGCCCAAAATTTGTGCACTGGTAGGGTCCTTAGAAGCTGCTGGCTACCATCCGGGGCCTCCCTCCTTTCCCTCGGTCTCCCCTGTTGCCGCTGCCACTGGCCAGGACCTCCCTCCCTTACCCTGGCCAGCCCTGCCCCCTGGTTGAACTCCTGGACGACCTCCCAGTTGAGGGGACAATTTGCATATTACACTTCTATTATATAGGATAGGATACATTTGCTACTATCACCAAATTTGGAACTTCATATTGATGAAATGTTATGTTTATAATAAAAGCCTAAGCGACCGTTACGGTGGAATGACCAGAACAGCCAGTCGCTATGATGTGCACTGACCATCTGGGGGCAGATACTCAATGCATGAGCTTCCCCCCGATGGTCAGCGTGCTCCCACAGGGGGAGCGCCGCTCAGCCAGAAGCCAAGCTCATGGCTGGAAGTGCAATGGTAGTGGTGGGAACCTCTCTCGCCTCCTCAGTGAGCAGCGAGCAGGTGGGTGTAAGGCGTGAGGGGTCCCCAACTGCAAGAGGGTGCAGGCTGGGCTGAGGGACAGACACACACACACACACACACACACACACACACCCTCCCCCCAGTGCACGAATTTCGTGCATTGAGTCTCTAGTTTTAGTACAATAAATTTCTTCATAAAATGCAAATTCCTTTTCTTTCTTTCTCTCTATTTCTTGTAATTTTATTGTTTTTTTTTTCTTACAGCATGTACAGAAGCATATTCCCAATCTGATGAGCAATATGCTTGCCACCTTGGTTGCCAGAATCAGCTGCCATTTGCTGAATTGAGACAAGAACAAGTATGAGACAAAACTGCCTTTCAGAATTGCCTGCTTGTATTGCACTTACTTGTATTGAAATATTTATCACTCACTTGATCCTATTTTAGTATTATATTTTAAATTATTTTTCAGTAAACAAATTACATATTTGCACACAGACAAATCAATTACATTTTTCTATGGTGCTTTACTGTTAAAAGATATGTTCACGTACATAATCTCACTTTGTTTTTTCTCGTTGTCTAGTGAAGATATTATCCCCCTTTTACATATGAAAAAACTGAGGCTCAGGGAAATTGATAGTTCAGTGTCTTTTTTTCATCCCAACTGCAATTACCTTAACTCAGACCATCATCATTTCTCATCTACATTACTAAATTAAATTAACTTCCAAACTACTTTCCCACTTTAACCCCGTCTAGTTTATCTTTTCGTCTCTGTCCAGGTATGTACTTTCTAAATGGAAATTTCATCATGTCATACTCCTATTTTATATATTTCAGTTGCTCCCCATTATATACAAGTTTAAGTCCAAACCACTTATCACAACCTGCTCCTGACTACCTCTCCCTGTAATGTTATAATTTCCCACCCCTCATATTCTATACTCCATATATACTGGGGAAATTTTCTAGATTTTATTAACTTTGGCATAGAAAGTACAACCCACATGATACAAAACTCAAAAGGTAAAAAGAGTAAATAGTGAAAAGTCTCCTACCCCTATATATTTCTCCATTAAAGTAGCCAGAGTTACCAATATGGATATATTTTATATATATACATGCAAATTCCTTGTATGAATCTTATCATTTATTAATAAGCAATCCCTTATTTTTGGACATGTAGGTTGTTTCTAATCTTTCATTTAACAATGATATTGCCGCCGGGACCGGTTTGGCTCAATGGATAGAGCGTCGGCTTGGGGACTGAAGGGTCCCAGGTTCGATTCCGGTCAAGGGCATGTACCTTAGTTGCGGGCATATCCCCAGAAGGGGGTGTGCAAGAGGCAGCTGATCGATGACTCTCTCTCATCGATGTTTCTAACTCTGTATCTCTCTCTCTTCCTCTCTGTAAAAAATCAATAAAATATATTTAAAAAAAAAAAAAAAAAACAATGATATTGCATGTTTTGTGCATTTATGAATCAGAATTGGAGTGGAGATTATGTCAATTAATGTTAATTCCTATCAGTAGCTTACTATATATGTATTCTGCCCATAAATATTCTCTCACTGTGCCGAGTTATCAGATGTCTCACATTGTATGCATATATTTTTTTGATTGATTTTTTTCCCTTCTTTTCCATTAACGTTAATTATGGCATGATTTATTGTACTTAAAAGCATTAAAGATAAGAATGGTGTGACTTACCCCTTTCCCTTCTATTTCTTGAGCTTTGCTAAGCCTTATTTAATCAAATCTTAAGATTCTCCATATTTATTGTTGTTTTTTAATCCTCACCCAAGCATATTTTTTCCATTGATTTTCAGATAGAGTGGAAGGGAGGGAGGAGTGGGGAGCGAGAGAGAAAAATATTAATGTGAGACAGACACTTGGATTGGTTGCCTCCCACATGAGCCCCAACTTGGACCAGGGATCAAACCTACATCCAAGGTATGTGCCCTTGGCTGGGAATCGAACTCACGACCCTTCAGTTCGAGGGCGGGGCTCTGACCACTGAGAAAACCAGCCAGGGCAAGAGTCTCCTTTTTTTTTTTTTTTTTTTATCTTATTCAAAAGCCTTTTATTCTCATATAGGTGACAGGTAGCACATAAATGTGTTTGGTAGAAATTAAGGGGATTTTTAGCTTTACCATAGTCAATTTGCATAGATAACTAAGATATTACATGAATGCTAATTATTATAGTAGATTCACTTAATGCTTTATACCCTGTCCTAATAAGGATTTGATTATGTTGCTCTCTTGAATATATATATATTTATGTATAAATGATAATGTATTTATTATGACTTAATTTTTTTTTTTTTTTAAAGCTCATGTCTCTGATGCCAAAAATGCATCTACTCTTCCCTCTAACTCTGGTACGGTCATTTTGGAGTGGCATGATGGACTCTGCACAGAGCTTCATAACCTCTTCATGGACTTTTTATCTTCAAGCTGATGATGGAAAATTAGTTATATTTCAGGTGACAACTGTTCTTCTTCATCTAAATATCGAAAACAGTAAATGTTTGTCTTAATTGAATGTCTTTGCATAGGGCCATGTCACTTAAAAATATTTACCATGAAATAATAATTACTTATTTGGCCTTATGAAAACATTGGACAATCACGACACAATGTGACTTACCCTCCCATCTGCCTGTTGGAAGCCTATCTAAGCCCTCAGTCCTTACCTAACAAGAACTCTGAATCTTCTAAATTTTATAGTGGTTAAATTGATAAAATGAAACCTAGATATGGGAAATAGGAATAATTAAAATACTTAGAATATAGTCGCATGTATTTATATCCTATATGGATGTTAGAGAAAAGCAAATGATGTAATTTTTAGTTGTTTTTAGTGCTTCATAACTCGTAACAAGTTGTTTTTAGTGCTTATAACTCTTACATATTGCCTCCTAGAGAAGTAACTTTTCTCCTACTTCATTATTTACCATGTGATTTGATAATAATAGTAGTCTTTTTTTAAGTTCTTGTGTACTAGGGACTTAGTATTTTATCTTCAAACAACTTCATGAGGTTGTATTATCCCTATTTTATTGATGAGGAAACTGAGTCTAACTTGTTTAAGGTCATCCTTAAACACGCTTGTTTAAGGTCAGTAACAAAAATGGGCTTCAGCCCTGACCGGTTTGGCTCAGTGAATAGAGCATCAGCCTGCGGACTGAAGGGTCCCAGGTTCGATTCCAGTCAAGGGCATGTACCTTGGTTGCCGGCACATCCCCAGTAGGAGGTGTGCAGGAGGCAGCTGATCGATGACTCTCTCTCATCAATGTTTCTAACTCTCTATACCTCTCCCTTCCTCTCTGTAAGAAAATCAATAAAATATACTTTTTAAAAAAAATGGGCTTCAGACTCAAGTCACTTTAACTTCTAGGTTCATATACCACCCCACAACATTGTCTTCTTTTTAATTCTGTAGTTAAATTCCTTAATTTTAAAAAATTTAATCCTTACCTGAGGATTTGTTTGTATTGATTTTTTTATTTTACTTTTTGAGAGAGAGAGAGAGAGAGAGAGAGAGAGAGAGAGAGAGAGAGAGAGAGAGAGACATCGACATCGACATCAATGTGAGAGAGAAATATGATCAGTAGCTTCCAGTATGTGCCCCAACTGGGGATCAAACCTGCAACCTTTTGGTGTACAGGACGATGCTCTACCAACTGAACTACCTGGTCAGGGCACATTTCTTAAATTGACAAGCTCATAAATTATGCTGTGGTACTGTCTTTCTCTCAGGTACTAATTAAAGTGAACCTTTAATTATTATTACTAAGTGAGTGGCTTATTGTAAAGCTAATATGTATATAAATTCAATAAGTTTTTTTGTCTTAAAGCTATTTAAGTTAAAGCATAAATTGACTGTTAGTGTGGAGACCTCATTCATTCCTGATTAGATGTGAGTTTAACTGTTTCTCTCTTTGTGTTAACCTGAGTGTAACTAAGATAAATAAGCCCCCACTCCAGAGGATCAGCGCTATATGTAGAGTATGGAGTATTTAGTTGTAATTTATGAATTACACTTAGGGAAGAATGGAATGTTTCAGCTGAGAAAAAATAGAGATAATAAGTGGTTAGTCAAATATGTTGGCAGTCTGCTAAATTATTCCTAATCAAGTAGAATTAGAACTCATTTTTTGCAGAGTATGATATTTAATGCAGTATGCTATAATTTGCCTTTTTTTCTATTTTTTTATGCTGTCAGGAAGTTAAATTAAATATTTGATGTTGCCAAAAATCTGTCTGTTTGTAAGGCACTGGATCTGATGTTTAGGAAGTATAATTAAAGTATATTGTGGTTAATATGTTTTATTTTTTATACCATACTTCTGTTACTTTTTCTCATTTTGAATGTTTATAGAGATTATGTGTTACACAACTTGCTACTGAGAAAATCTTAAAGAGTACAAATGACTTAATTGCTTTCATTATCATTTTAGTCTAAGCCAGAAATCCAGTATGCATCACAGTTGGAACAGGAGCCTACAAATTTGAAAGAATCATCGCTAAGCAAAATGTCCTGTAAGTTTTCTTTTACGCAGCAATCAAATCTGGTTGTGGTAGAATTTGTTGCATGATTGTTTTTACATTAATAGAATATGAATAAATAATTTCTAAAACTTTGAGGGGTTTTCAAACCTTAATGAGCATTAGAATCTGGATAGCTTTTTAAAACAGATCTCTGAGTCCCACCTCCAAAGTCTCCAATTTTCTAGATCTGGGAAAGGACCTGAGAATTTGCATTTCTAACAGGGTACCAGATTTTATGATGCTGCTGGTCTAAGTACCACTCTTTGAGAACCAGTATTTTAAAACCATTTAGTTTGCTTTGAAGGATGTTGTGAGTATAAACTAATGAAATATTCTGTTGCATCCCAATAAACTAACCAAAAGTGAAACTACCCTAAAAGTATGAGTTCCTATTCTCTTTTGTTTTCCATACTAGAAGTGAATTTTAACTCATGGGAATATAAAACATCAAGCTAAAACTGAGCTTACTTTTTAAAATGTATTAGCTTATACCTTACTTTTGGTACTGATTGCATTAACTTTCGAATGATTTTGCTGGGTGGATAATGGCAGCACATAAGGCCATCTTTAACTTTACATTAGAATAACCAAATTCCATTACTTAAGTCCACATGTAATTAAATTGAAAGCGTCAATGTCAGTGAGAATTGTGAAAATAGAAAACCCTTAATATAATAGACTATCTATTTGGTTTTTTATGTGTCATAGGAACTTGCATTCATTATAAAATGTATAGATCTAGAAGTAGTCATTTGTGCCGAGACCAGTTTGGCTCAATGGATAGAGCGTCGGCTTGGGGACTGAAGGGACCCGGGTTCGATTCCGGTCAAGGGCATGTACCTTGGTTGCGGGCATATCCCCAGTAGGGGGTGTGCAAGAGGCAGCTGATCGATGACTCTCTCATCGATGTTTCTAACTCTCTATCTCTCTCCCTTTCTCTCTGTACAAAATCAATAAAATATATAAATTAGAAGTAGTCATTTGGGACTATTTTTGGAGTATAAGATATCAAACATGTGCCTTGTTATTTCACCAGATCTACAAATGAGAAGTTCACAAACACACAGGAACTTTCTTGAAGATGGAGAAAGTGATGGCTTTTTAAGATGCCTCTCTCTGTATGTATTCCTCTTTATTAATGAGTATAGGAAATACAACCTGGCTTATATCAGAGAGATATTCATTTTTATTGTTTTATTGTTATTGTTTTATTGTTTTATTGTTTTATTGTTATTGTTTTATTGTTATTGTTAAAATATTATCAACTGCTCAAAAGTAAAAAAATTACCTTCTTCCTACCTATTGTCTACTTTTGGATATTTTAATTTCTTAAAAAGTAATATGCAGCCCTGGCCAATGTTGCTCAGTTGGTTGGAGCATTGTCCCATGCACCAGAGGTTTCGCAGGTTTGATCAGGGCACATGCAGAAGGCAACTGATCAATGTTTCTCTTTCTCCCCCTCCCTCCCACCCTTCCTCTCTCTAATATCAATAAACATATTCTAAGGTGAGGATTTAATAATAAATGAAAGGTGATATACATACTACTTTAATAAAACCCAAGCAGTTTAATATAACCGTAGTTTTTTGTGTTTTTTTTTTTTCACAGTATAAAAACTTTCTTGTTAGGATTCTTTGATTTATGTTAAGAAATGTGCTTCTTAAGTATATGTTAATGTTTTGGGGATCAGATTTTTGTTTTTTGCTGCATGGCCACATAAAAGGTTAGGAAAGGAAGATAAGGCTATAGATTAAGGAAGGCTTCATGTCCTCTGCTAAGAAGGAGTATCAACTCTGTGCCAAGGATTCTTAAGGCTGGCAAGGAAAAGTGGGCAGTCAAGGGAATGGGTATGTTATGTCCTAGGAAGGAATATCAAGCCTTCTGAGGGTAAAGAGAGTTTTATCAAATTATGAGTGCTTGCACTCCTGCAAGGAGTTATGATATGAGCACTCCCCCTACACTTCTCCCCCACCAATGAAAGAAAAGGGGAAAGAAAGTGGATCTTAACACTCATTGGAAACTATTTACTATGTGTCAGATACCACGCCAAGCCCTTGAGTAGAACAGTATACAAGTGCTTGCTCTCGCAGTCTAATGCTATGTTGTCTCAGGTGGAATACTGCAGTAGTCCAAACTGCCTGCTTCCTGTAATTTCTTGTGATAGAAAAAGCTTATTAGGTTTTATCAGATGTCAGTAGAGTCATATTGGAATCTAAAAATGAATACCTTTTATTGAACAAAAGTCTTTAAAGACTGGGTGAGAAAATAAGAATTTAACTTTAAAATTTTCCTTCCTTTTATTTCTAAATCTGCTTTTGACCTTGCTTAAAAAAGGACATTTTTCTCTCTCCAGTATTTAGGATTTTTGTTGTAATTTGATAGTCTTATGAAAACTAAATATGATAGTATCCTACATTTTAATAAAAAGAATTCTTTTTTAAATGCTTTTCCCCTCTCAATGATCTCATTTGACTCTTAGAACAGTGTACCTTATAACTGGCTTTCCACTATGATAAGTAGGTAAATCGGAGAGGTGAGTCCACTACCCCAAGGATCATATCTCTACTATATTAAAATTCAAATTTGGGTTTTCAAATTCTGTATCTTCTTCTCATTCAATACGACCATAGCTGTTTGCTCTTTAAAGGATCATGATTTTTCCATGATTGCATGTAAGATCACCTAGCCAGTCAGTGGAATCTGGTCTTCAGACCCTTACTCCAGTGCGTCTCTTTATTATATCACATAGTTGATATGAAGTTGTCCTTGGTCTCCAGAATGGAAATTGAAGTCAAACTAATTTTTTCACTTGCCATTTCTTTTTGGAGAATCTATTATGTGCCAGACACTGTTTGGGATGTGAGACCTAAGAAAAGATGTTCAGTCTCTACCTTCATGGAGTTCTCAAATCTAGTATAGTAGAAAAAGACAAACAGATAGTAGCAACACAATAATGATTGCTAGATATTTTACATATACACATACCTCTCATATGTAGAGAACAAGGAGTACTAAGTCTATCACAGGTTTCAAAGGGAGGATTTACAGGGATAGAAATGTCTTAATTGATAACTAGAGCTTTTTGCTAATTGTAGCACATTTGATTGAGAGATTTGACCAAACCAGGTTGCCTGGAGCTAGATAGGAAAAGGAAAGTGATCATTTTTTTAAAATACGTTTTTATTGATTTCACAGAGAGAGATAGAAACATCAATGGTAAGAGAGAATCATTGATCAGCTGCCTCCTGCACTCTCCTTACTGGGGATCAAGCCTACAATCCGGGCATGTGCCTGACAAGGAACTTAACTGTGACATCCTAGTTCATGGGTTGACACTCAATCACTGAGCAACACCAACCAGGCAGGAAAGTAATCATTTTTAATATCAAGAAGAGACATGATGAAGGATAGAGGATCATGTCGAACAACTTGGGTAAACCACGCAAGAAATTACGAGATCTGCACTAGGGCAATAGGTAAGAATAGGAGATGATGAAGAATCTTGTAGGATTATTTTGTTGTGGAGGTTAAAGAAGTGACCTAAATAAAATTTAGGATTGACTTAAATGAGTCTTAGTTTTCTGGCTTAACTACTTGTGACTGGAATCTAGATATCAAATACATCCTCATTTCATGGAAGGGAATTCCTCAGTATCAGGTTAAGGCTGGGATATGTAAATTGGGTATTTTTTCATTAAAAATATTTTTACTCTACTATCTTGCTAAATTGGAATACTTAAAGCATCTTGTAGGAAGTCCCCACTTTTAGATACAATACATTTTCCAAAGTCTATCTCTTTTGCTAAGAGACATGCATAAGTACATGCTTTTTCCTTAGCATGTTCAACTGTTGGCAAACCATCAGGTGACTGTGTTGTGGTGATATATTTTATTAGGCAGTGTTGGATGAGCCCAGATGTGAAAATTGTCCAATTTTTTTTTTTTTTAAATTATCCAATTTTCTAGTTACATAGTTTTTCATAAATAGACTCTTAAATATTTAAAAATGACTTGTTCTTGGAATCTTAATTTACAGTTTGGTAAATAATAGGTCAATTATAGAAAAAGCTTTAGTTGCTGATTCTTGTAATTGGCTTTCTACATTAAGATATTTTAATCAGCCCTAGCCGGTTTGGCTTAATGGATAGAGCACGGGCCTGCAGACTGAAAGGTCCTGGGTTTGATTCTGGTCAAGGACACATGCCCGGGTTGTGGGCTAGATCCCATAGAGGGTGTGCAGGAGGCAGTGGATAGATTATTCTCTCTGATCATTGATGTTTCTATCTCTCCCTTCCTCTCTGAAATATATATATATATATATATATATATATATATATATATATGTATATGTATATATGTATATGTACACACACACACACACACACACACACACACACACACACACACATATATATATATATATATATATATATATATATATATATATATGGCTGATTATGCATTTTAATCAGCCCTAGCTAGTTTGGCTCAGTAAGTAGAGCATTGGCCTGCAGACTGAAGGGTAATGGATTCAGTTCTCGTCAAGGGCACATGCCCAGGTTTCAGGCTCGATCCCCAGTAGGGGGCGTGCAAGAGGCAGCCGTTAGATGATTCTCTCATCATTGATGTTTCTCTCTCTCTCCCTCTTCCTTCCTCTCTCAAATCAGTAAGTACTATTTTTATTTTAAAGATATTTCATCAGCTCAGTTGATGTGGCTTAGTTGGTTGAGCTTCGTCCCATGAACCAAGGTCATCCCATGAACCAGGAGGTCATGTTACGATTTCCAGACAGGGCACTTGCCTGGGTTTCAGGCTTGATCCCCAGTAGTGGGCATGCAGGAGACAGCTGATCATTGTTTCTAATCATTTTTCCTTCCTCTCTCTGAAATCAATAAAAACATATTTTTAAAAAATCATAAGATATTTTAATCATAAGAAACATGTAACTTTATCTTTACTAAGATGTGCTGTAATGGGTGCAGAATACTTCATAATAGATTAAGTATTCTGCACCCATTCCAGCACTGTTTTGAATTGTAAGTAAATTATGGCAGATCAAATATTTGAAATGCTCTAGAGAAGCTAACTTCTGGAAGCCTGTTGTAATCCCTTTGTAAAACAAATTATAATTTTATAATTTACCTATTCTATACCTTAATTCTGGGATATTGGGTTTTCTTAAAGCTAGAATAATACCTTGCAAAATAATACATATAAAATTTTATAGCAGTGTATAATTTATAGGATACTTTCATTTTTCTTATCTCATTTAGTAATTTAAAATTGCCCATGACAATAATTTGCTTTAATTTCATACATTTAACAAAAAGCCAGTATGTCTGATTTTAAGTTGCAAAAGTGATGCAACCATGTTATAGAAACTTGAGAAATGGAGGGGAGGATTTCATACCACCCTAATATCTTTATAATAGTTCCTTCTATAAGTATATCTTTTAAAAATAGTTTTAAAGGTAGTAATCATAAAGCTTTAATTAGATTACTAAAATAAGTACATAATTCTGATTTGCCTTTAATTATCAAGAATCTCCTTTTTCTTATATTATAAAAATTTAACATGACTAATTGTTGATATTTCCTTTTTTCTTTTTCTTTTTTCCAGTAATTCTGGGTGGATTTTAACTACAACACTTGTCCTGTCGGTGATGGTATTGCTCTGGATTTGTTGTGCAACTGTTGCTACAGCTGTGGAGCAGTATGTTCCCTCGGAGGTAGATTTAATTCTAATATCCTACTTGAAGGCTGAGCCATATGATTAATCATTTTAAGTGCCTATTTTAAAAAACAAAACAAAACAAAAACCTAGAAAATAAGGCCTCTCTACTAATAGAATGAGAGAAAATTTGGTGGTTTCAGTCACATAGCTGGGGGTTGGCACACATGAAAATTACAGGTTTGCAGCATAAGAATCACTGTTCCACTTTTCCGTAAAGCTAACTACCATAGTTACATACATGTTGGCTGGTTTCAAGTGTTTCTCTCCCTGGTTCTGTGAGACTGAAAAAAACCTGTTGACATCAGTTTCTAAGGTGATATTTAAGAAGGAAGTCTTGTATACCCACTTAACATTTTAAACTAATTGCCACAAATTTTAAAGAGTAATTGCTGCTTTAGAAGCAACAAGGCGCCGAGACCGGTTTGGCTCAGTGGATAGAGTGTCGGCTTGGGGACTGAAAGGTCCCGGGTTCGATTCCGGTCAAGGGCATGTACCTTGGTTGCGGGCACATCCCCAGTAGGGGGTGTGCAAGAGGCAGCTGGTCGATGACTCTCTCATCGATGTTTCTAGCTCTCTATCTCTCTCCCTTCCTCTCTGTACAAAATCAATAAAATATATATTTAAAAAAAAAAAAAAAAAAAAGAAGCAACAAGGCTAGAGCGTTTGATTTTGAGTTTGCTCTGGAATCTAACCCTGAAAGAGATAAAAAACTATCATGACTTCCTTGGTAATGAAAATTTAATTGACCCGAGAAATGTAACTTTTAAGATAAAGGAGTTTTATTTTGAAAAAGTCTATAATTTGATTATTCAATTTATCTATCAAGGAAAGAAAGTTATTTGTATAATAAATGTGGGATAACTCAACTCCAAATAAAATAAACTTTAGTTCTCTTTTGCCTTGAAAGTGCAATAGAAAAAAAGTGTAAAGAAGAAAGGAGGAAAATTAAAATAGAATCTAATAAGTAGTTGGCATGTACTTAGCATGGTGCTTGAACAGTTTTATCTTAAGAGACTATAAATATATATTTTAATATAAGATTTATGCATTAATAATTTATGCATTAATAATAAATAATAACTGGGCCTTTATATTTTACTAGAGGCCCAGTGCATGAAATTCATGCATGAAGGGGGTCCCTCAGCCCAGCCTGCACCTTCTCCAATCTGGGACCTTTCAGAGGATGTCCGACTGTCAATTTAGGCCCAATCTGGGACTGCTGGCTCCTAACTGCTCGCCTGCCTGATTGCTCCTAACTGCTTCTGCCTGTCAGCCTTATTGCCCCCCTAACTACTCCCCTGCCAGCCTGATTGATGTCTAACTGCTCCCCTGCCGGCCCAATCACTCCCAACTGTTCTCCCCTGCCTGCCCAACCTCCCCCAACTGCCCTCCCCTGCCAATGACCTGATCACCTCCTAATGCCCTCCCCTGCTGGCCCGATCACCCCCAACTGCTCTCTGCTGTCCCCCTGATCACCCACAACTGCCCTCCTCTGCTGTGACCCGCCTCCTTCATGCAAGGTGACAGAGACGCTGGGACCGGCCTCCGCGCCATGCAGAGTGGACCTGAAGGCCTCACTGTGCATGCAGCCATCTTGTGACAGCGTCATGCGAGGGCCACCTAGGCTTTTATTATATAGGATTTTTTAAGATATGTGATACAGCCCTAACTGGTTTGGCTCAGTGGATAGAGCGTCTGCTTGTGGACTGGAAGGTCCTAGGTTCGATTCTGTTCAAGGGCATGTACCTTGGTTGTGGACATATCCCCTTTAGGGGGTGTGCAAAAGGTAGCTGATCGATGTTTCTCTCTCATCGATGTTTCTAACTCTATCCCTCTCCCTTCCTTTCTGTAAAAAATCAATAAAATATATATTTTAAAAACCTATGTGAAACAATGTTGAAAACTAACATATATATAGTTCTGTAAATTTTATAAAGTATTTTCATATATCTTCCATATCCAGCAGTACTCTATAGTATGTTCTATTGTCTATTTTATTAGATAGGTGAGCAGGCTTACAAAGCCAATTAACCTCAGCACAGCAGTTGAAAGTATTGAGGCTAGAATTAGCTCTTATCGTTTGATTCACAACTCCTGTGTCTTTCCTGTTTATCATCTTTTCTATGGCTGATAAGGATTTTAAGTGGTACAAATAATAAATGTTTTAAGTGTTAAGGAAAGCAGATACCTCATGCCGGATTTTCAGAAAAGGCTTTTAGATAATGTGGATCTTGACCTGAACTTTGAAGAATGGATACATATGAATTAGCAGAAAAGAGGGTAGACAATTTTCCTAGGTACAGACAAGAATAAGCCAATTATCAGGGATGTACTGTAAGGAACTAACTTGATTGAAAGAATTTAAATTAGGAGAATAAACTAAATGGATAAAATTGAGCAGGATCAGGAATTAAAGTATTAGAGATTGTGTAAATTTCTGTAAAACTCATCTGCTTATGATATGAGTATACTTATAACATTCTCTTGCTCCATTACTTGTGTTATTTTTAGTGCTGATGTCCATATTTTAATCATTTTATTGTAATGGCCAAAAAGAATTGGCAAAGAATTTAATTTCCTTTGTTGATCTTAAAGCAGTGTCATTTTGAGTGACTTGATACATAAAGATTTTGATCTTTTCTCCACATTTTTTCCTCTGTTCTTCACATTTGTGATGTCATTTTTGAAACTTAATGGGATGACACTTTCTCTTGTTGAGTTACCTGTCTAAAATAATGAAGAGTTGTCATTCCATAGTGGTCCTTGTCAGGCAGATCAAATTTAACATATAGGAACAGGGTTTAGCAATTTTGGATATTCCTTTTTAGAGATCAGGCAGCCTCCGAATGTTGCTATAGCAACAGATGTCGATATACATCGGGGTGGAGAACATTTGGTTTCGCAAAGTCATTTGGTCTGGCCCTGCCAAGGCATTAGGGGTGAGTTAATTAAATGTTTGACCAAATATAGGAGACGAATTTTTTAAGTTGATAATTTTGTGTGGCTATTTAGAATGATGCTCTAAATAGCCCAATGGCCCTGTAGAAAAAAGATTGCCCGCCCCTGCTGTCCATGCTGCCTCATTGTTATCTCTTTATATGTATGCTCCTTTTGTTTGCCAAAACCATGATCATCTGATTTCATATATTCAGTTAAAAAGAGCTTTAGATAGAAGACTACTAATAACATTAATGTTTAGTGAATCTCATATATTTATGGGTAACTTGTTATGTGTCAGGCCCTGTTCACGGGAGTAAAGATACAATGAAGAATAAGGTCAAGAAGGAACAGTTTAAGGCTTCTAAGGGTCAGGAAGTAGGATGAAACATGTCTTAAACTCGAATGAACATTATTTTCTTCATCTTAAAAAAAAGACTAAGAATATTGCCATTTAGAATCTTTAAGTCTCATAAAAAGAGTCAATCAGAAAACAATATAAATGCCATAGCTTTTTTATTCCAAATTCTGTTAAGAAACTGAGTTTTAGGAAAGATTTAAGGAAGTTATTAAAGATTACATAACTGATTAGTAGCAGAGCCAGGCCTAAAGCTCAAATACATATTTACTAATTAAATTTTTTTAATTAAAAATTTTTAACTTTTAGAAATAATACATTAACATAAATTAAATCTTCCTCTTCCTCACTTCTAGATAAACTACAGTCAATAGTTCTGGGGGGTTTTTTTATATGTTTTTATTGCCCTATCCAGTTTGGCTCAATGGATAGAGTGTTGGCCTGTGGACTGAAAGGTCCTGGGTTCGATTCTGGTCAAGGGCACATGCCCTGGTTGTGGGCTTGATCCCCCACTGGACATGCAGGAGGCAGCTGATCGATGATTCTCTGTCATCATTGATGTTTCTCTCTCTCCCTCTTTCTTCCTCTCTGAAATAAATTTTAAAAAAATTTTAAATATATGTTTTTATTTATTTCAGAGAAGAAGGGAGAGGGAGAGAGAGAAATATCAGTGATGAGAGAGAATCATTGAGCAGCTGCTTCCTGCCCATCTCCTACTGGAGATAGAGCCTGCAACCTAGGTATGCACCCTGCCTGGGAATTGAACCATGATCTCCTGGTTCATAGGTCAATGCTCAGTTACTGAGCCACACCAGCTAGGCACAGCCAATAGTTTAAAATTTTTTTCCAAGTAGTTACCATTTTTAAAATTTTAACTTTTGGTTTTGTTTTATTTTGTTTTGTTTTGCCAGCTTTAGACATTATCTAATGTCTTCTTACTGAAGGATGAGGAATTAATTAGTAGCAGAGCCAGTATATTATATTACCTCCCACCTCACCTCCATCACTTCACTTTCTTCCATGTCGATGTTTGAAATCATTCACACAATTCTTGGTTGCTGTTCCAAGGTCTTTAAATGTTACTAGGTAGAGTTGTGAAGGTTTTTCTTGCCCAGTGCTCCAGAGCTGATTATCACATGTTAATTCTGGGTTTTAAGGAGGCCACACAATATCAGATCCATGCCCACTCCATCAACCACTGAATCTGTCTGGATGATATTCTCTTAATGGGAAAATATAAGGTACTGGGCCATCTCCTTGTTGCCTTGAAAAGTAGTCAGCAAACCATATCTGCAACATGAAACAAGGAAGCAATCATCATGGCAATCATTTTTTAAATATATTTTAAAATATATTTTATTGATTTTTTACAGAGAGGAAGAGAGAGGGATAGAGAATTAGAAACATACCCCTACTGGGGATGTGCCCGCAACCAAGGTACATGCCCTTGACGGGAATAGAACCTGGAACCTTTCAGTCCGCAGGCCGACGCTCTATCCACTGAGCCAAACCGGTTTTGGCTTAATATTTTTATTTCCCCAGAAAAAAAACTCAGACTCATTCGTAGCCACTCCCATTTTTCCCCAAGCACCACCAACACCACCACCACCACTACCACCCAAGCCACAGGCAACCAGTACATGATCTCTAATGATTGACCTCTTTCACTTTCATGATGTTTTTCAAGATTCATCCATGCTGTAGCATGTATCAGTATCAATGGATACTTAAATTTGCTCTTTATTTAACATCTTTTAAATGCACCTTCCCAATATAAAGTACTTTCATGTGGTTCTTGCTCTATACTCAGTCTCTTATCTTCTCAGAAAGGTCAGTACTTCAATGTTTACTCATGACACAGAGATGTATTGCTGTAGGAGTTAACAACAAATATTCTGCTTCTTAGTAAATACTTGTCTTTTAGCTTTTCTGCTTTTAGGAGATAACCTACATCTAAATAGACCTACTTTCAAAGGATGTTAGACATAACTGTTATACTCTAGTGCATTCTATGACATTTGTAGTGACTCTGTTTTATGCTTTCATTCTTTTGTTGTTTTACTATCTTCTTGGATATGATAATAATTTAAGGAGCTTTTATATGTTTGTGAAGACCTTTCAGTGTTAAAATGTTTCATGTAAATTCTTTGTTTTCACAGCCTTTTAAAATAACACATATTTTCCAAGTATATTAAGTTAAAACATTTAATAGCAGAGAAACTTACTCCAAATCATTAGACAAGTTGGTCGCAGAGGTAAGATCTTGAAGGAATCGATCACTTAAAAAATTAAATATCCCAAATAAGTGCTCTTGGTATGACAACACTCACTCCATTTAAACCTGAGCAGTTTTTCTTGATTCTCTGTTGTTATGCTTCTAAATATTCTAACTTGAGACACGTGGAAAGTTTTCTTTGCCATCACTGGCAGCTGAATCACCTATCTATAACACTGAGTAAAAGCATTCTTCATTCTAGAGGACATTTATAGAATTTTATTTATTTTACAAAATACCTATAGATTAACTTGTTATTTGAAGACTTAATGAGGTTTCTAATTATCCAAATTCTAAATGCATTGATTTTCTTTTGCAGAAGCTGAGTATCTATGGTGACTTGGAATTTATGAATGAACAAAAACTAAAGAGATATCCAGCTTCTTCTCTGGTGGTTGTTAGATCTCAAGTGGAAGATCATGAAGAAGCAGGGCCTCTACCCACAAAAGTGAATCTTGCTCATTCAGAAATTTAAGCTTTTTCTTTTTTTTCTCTTTTCTTTTTTTAAGAAAAGTGTAATAGCTATCTAAATATTCATTTCTCATAGAGCTTTTAAAATTGGTTTCATTGACTATAGGGCTTAAAAATCACTATAAAATGAAAATAAAGTTACCCAAATCTGAGAAGACTATATTTGTGGTAAATTTTTCCTAGTAATTTAAGAGATGGATATTTGGGATTATATTATTATTTTAATATCTCTGTCTTCTTTATTATTTGCATTATTTTTGTTTTCCTTTTTAGCACTTTCTATGAGCTGATCATTGTTTTCCCCACCTATCAACTTGATACCATCAGTCACTTTAGTGATTAAACTGAATATTCAGTAGGTTATGATGCTTCTGCTCAGAAATGGCCCACAACCTGCATTTGAAATTTAGCAGGAAATGCCCTTACACTCCATTTTCAGTTGTATTGAACTGAAATCATTAAAATTTTATTTGAATAATTGTGTCAAAATTTGAGTTAATATACTTTTGATTTTCCAATCTTTCCTCTCACTCTTACCCAACAAAGACAAAAATTATGAAATGTTCTATTACTACCTATTGCTATGGTAATAATACATATTGCTATACACTGTGATGAACAGGAAACAAACTGAAGCAAAAACAATGTGGTCAGAAGTGCCTTTAAAAAAAAAATCCTCACCTGACGATATTTTCCATTGGTTTTTAGAGAGAGAGGAAGGGTGCAAGAGAGAGAAACAACATGTGCCCCAACCCAAGTCAGGGATCAAGTCTGCAACCAAGGTACATGCCCTTTTTCCAGAATTGAACTGAGACCCTTTGGTCCAAGTGCTAACCCTCTAACCACTGAGCAAAACACTAGAATCAGTGCATTTTATGTTATTGCACAGGGTATAGATTTTTGTTGAGTGAGTCTTTCCCAAGAACTATTTTCTCTATTAGAAAGCATATCAAGTATAAGTCTAAAGATATTTTCAGATAAAACTCTACATTTTGACAGTAAGAATTAGACTAGATTTCACTTGGCAAAAGCTATTATCATTCCTTCAGCTATAATAATACAGATTTTAAAATAAGGGTAATATCAGGTAACATTGATAACAGGATCATCACATGATTTAGTGTTATTTTACCTTGAAATGTTAAATAACTTTGCAAACCAATACTACCTTACACATAGAAACATTGTTAGAACCTGAAGTAATGCTTTTTGACTAAAGAGTGAGTCACACACTTACCTTGCAGCTTAGTCATCAACTTTCTCTGAGTCAAAAAACACACACACACACACAAAAAAAAAACCCAATAACTAATCAAGTAAGACACTGGTCACAAAACACAGGTTTCTGTTTTTAAAATACTTTGTCTAGGAAGATGGAGGCTTAGAAGATACATACATGTACACATGCAGCTGTGGAAGAGAGGAGTAATTATTAAAGAGTTGTCAAGCAGTCATCGTCTCTCATTTTTTGTGAGAAAACAGGTATATAACACCAGGATTGGGAGCACACCTTTTACAAGAGGCTGGTTGTCTTATTTCCCAGCCATAGTTTGTGCTCACTATCAGGAACAGGTTTAATTGAAATACATCCAGTGAAGCAAACTTCAGATCAGTGAGGGGGAAATATACAAAATGACACAGGTTTATAGGAGTCAGCCCACTGTTAGAAAAGCTCTCCCTTAAGAAAACAAAACAATAAAATAATATCTAGATAAGAAGGATAACTGGATGATTGTCTTCTTATTCTCCCTTTGGTTTGTTTTTTGTTAAAATATATTTTTGATTTTTTTTTTATAGAGAGGAAGAGAGGGATAGAGAGTTAGAAACATATAATAGATGAGAATCATCGATCAGCTGCCTCTTGCACGCCCCCTACCGGGGATGTGCCCGCAACCAAGGTACATGCCCTTGACCGGAATCGAACCCGGGACCTTTCAGTCCGCAGGCTGAAAAAATAAAAAAAAATCGCTGTCAATATATTGTTATTGATTTCTATCCACTGAGCCAAACCGGTTTCGGCCTCCTTGGTTTTGTTTTTCTTAGCTTCCTGAATATGGTTATCCCTGAGATATCCTCAATTGTCTTGAAAGTATTGATCCAAATGCAGACAAATTTTCCCCTTTATAATTTCTCTGCCCCCTTTTTATTTTAATTTTCAAAAATTAAAAAAGAATTTCTCCCCACCAAAAAAAACAACATTGTTGTGAGAAATGCTCACCTGTCTGAGTTAAAATAATGGACTCTGAGAAGTATGGTGAAAACAAGACCATACTTAAGTTCTCAAGAGCGGGTATCACCAAAGCCAGTTTGGCTCAGTGGTAGAGCGTCGATCTGCGGACTGAAAGGTCCCGGGTTCGATTCCGGTCAGGGGCATGTACATTGGTTGCGGGCACATCCCCAGAGGGGGGTGTGCAAGAGGCAGCTGGTCGATGTTTCTCTCTCATCGACGTTTCTAGCTCTCTCTCTCCCTTCCTCTCTGTAAAAAATCAATGAAATATATTAAAAAAAAAAAAAAAAAGAGCGGGTATCTATTCTGTTGTACAGGCACACATGGAGTAGCCATCACAGCCTACTTACCCCTAAGGGTGCGAGAGTTTCTCCTCTGGTTCCTCATTGGCTGAGTACTACGGAGTTAATAGTTTCCTCATATGTCGCCTAAGTCTTATTGTCTCCCATTGGGCCATTTAAAAAATTGGGCTAAGACCTTTCTTTTCTAGTTGGCTCCACCTCCTTCTGTCTTTTGGCAGCAGATAGATGCCTTGGGGATTTCCACCGTGATGGTGGCTCCCATACACACTTCTTTGTTCTTATGTCCTCTTCTGTTTGCCCTGGGGAAATTCAGCAACCAGTTCCATTAAAATTGGCTATGCTGGAGATAGATCACAGAAGCCTGTTTCCTACAATTGTAAAACATGTTTGACTTGAAAATTCTAACAAAACCAATAAAGCTGAGCCTTTGGGCCTCTCCTAAACAGCTCTCTTCAACCTGTGTGCTGTAGGAGTTTTTTAAAACACGCAACACCTGACTATTTAGTCAGGGACACTGACCTCTCTTTCCTGCGGTTGTCATATTAAAAAGAGTACAACAGCCAACAACAGTAGCTGTCCAGTTAAATGATTCGTAATTACACCTGTTTTTTGTCAGATTGGCAAAAATCATTTTTGATGCTGCAGAATTTTAGCAATTAGTTTATGTGTGCCATGAGGTGAAAGAAGGTTAAAAACTGCTGTCCTGCCGAAACCGGTTTGGCTCAGTGGTAGAGTGTCGGTCTGCGGACTGAAAGGTCCCAGGTTTGATTCCGGTCAAGGGCATGTACCTTGGTTGCGGGCACATCCCCGGTAGGGGGTGTGCAAGAGGCAGCTGGTCGATGTTTCTCATCAACGTTTCTAGCTCTCTTTCTTTCTCCCTTCCTCTCTGTAAAAAATCAATAAAATATATTTTAACAAAAAAAAAAATAATAATAATAAAAAAATAAATAAAAAATCGCTTCCTAAAATAACAGTTTAGCCTTTCTTGAACGGGCCCAATTTCACTTGTTTCTATGAGATAGATATCATGTAAAAGCATCTTCTTGAGAAATTTATCTTGGTTTAGGCAAAATCTCAAGGCCCTTGAGTCTCTGGTCCAAACCTCCAAGACTCCTATGGTCTTTGGTTCAGGCCCTTAGGGTGAGACATACTAATTCATGCAATTATGTAGACAATAGTTACCATAATAAATGATACCCAGTCTTTTCACTGTTACGCCCAGACTTCGTGATCCCCAAGGACCACCAGGGAGCCGAGTCCGATGCAATAAACAAAAGAGCCTCTTCCATGCTAGCATGGGCCCCCCCACTCACGCCGGCAGCATGGCGGAAGAGAGAGCGAATTTCGCCCGGTCCAGGGGTTTTACTCCGGTCGGTGGTGATGTCACTGCCTTGGCTAACCCTGATTGGTTGGGTGAGAGCTAGGGATAACTCCGCCCTGCGGGGTGGAGTCGGGAGCTCATCCTCGCCCCGCCCTGCCCTCTCATCACAAAACTTTATGGATACCTTTTATTTATATATCCTGTTTCCCTGAAAATAAGACAGTGTCTTATATTAATTTTTTTTCTCCCAAAGTTGCACTAGATCTTATTTTCAGGGGATATCTTAGCTTTCCATGCTCTAGATCTTATTTTTGGAGGATGTCTTATTTTCAGGGAAACATGGTACTCAAGGCCCAGTGTAGGCACCCGTGGGGTCCATCGGCCTGCCCTGCGGGGATTAGGCCGAAACTGGCTCTCTAATATCCCCCGAGGGGTCCTGGATTACGAGAGAGAGAGAGAGAGAGAGAGAGAGAGAGAGAGAGAGAGAGAGATTCTCAGGTGATGCACCCCAAATCGGGCTCTTTCCTCTCTGGTTCCAGGTGTGTCACTGCAGCTCCTGTGTTAAGTGCCTGCCACTTGGTGGTTCATAGTGCACGTCATATCCATCAGTTGGAGTATCAGCTCCTTGTGGTCATTAAGTGTCATAGCTACCAGTCAGACAGTTGCTAAGGCTTTTATATATATAGATATTTTTAGTAAATAAAAATTATCAGATCATCTAGTCTATCACTCTTATCTCAGAAAGTTTTATGATGCAATTAAAAATTATTTTGAAACATATGCAACAATCATAATTTGATATCTAAATGTAACTTCTATTGATGATAAAGTCACAGGTACTGCTAATACTGCTCTCAATTGTTGCCTCTGTTCTTAACTAAAGGAAATGCTATATTTCAGTTAGAAATTAGTGAAAAAATGATTTAATTTTTCCCATCCAAATTCACTGAACTCCTGATTCAGAAACTGCCTGATATTACTTTGTCATTTTTTAAAATATATTTTATTGATTTTTTACAGAGAGGAAGGGAGAAGGATAGAGAGTTAGAAACATCGATGAGAGAGAAACATGGATCAGCTGCCTCCTGCACACACCCGACTGGGGATGTGCCCGCAATCAAGGTACATGGCCTTGACAGGAATCGAACCTGGGA